TTTCCAAGGGATTTTTGAAGGATTTTGGGGTAGAAAAGCAACCTAAGGCTTCCTAAGGTAAGGATTTCTTCTTAAGTTGTGTGATTTGGGAGTTTTAACCCATATTGAAGTTTGAGGGTTTTCATTCTTTTGGCTAAGATTTGAGGAGATATCAAGCTAAACAAGTGAAAGGAAGAGTTTGTGAAGTCTCTCCTTAACAAGTAAGTAAAACCCAACCCAAGTTGAGATTTATGAATTTTCTTGATTAGGGTTTTGATAGAAATGATGTATGTATGTGATGTGCATGTAATATAGCATGTATGAAGGATTAAATAGAGATTTCTATGCTTTGTGATTGTTTATACCTTGCAAATTTGAGAAATGGGTTGTTGGTTTGGCAAGGTAGTTGAGATGGAATTTAAGGGGTATTATGTATTCCCTTTTTGGAAGTGTTTTCTATGGCAGGTTTTGTGACTTTGTGAAGGGGTTTTTCCCCATTTTGGATGGTTAAGAAAAGTTTTAGAATCATGGCTATGATAGAGTTTTATAGTGCACATGAGTTGTTTGATGAAATGCCTAATAGAGGTTTGAGTGTGAGAAATGAACCTTAATTCTTGCAACATTGCATGTTGGCATCTCATAAGTGCATTGGTGAAGATGAACCATCCATAGGCACTAGTTGTACATGGAAAAGTGACCTAAGAAAGTGTAAGGAAATGGTTTATGCAATTACCCTATGAGTAGAGAGCTTAGTGGGTAAAATTACTCTAAGGGTAGAGAGCATTGAAAAATGCTACAATAGAATGAATTAGAAGAGTAGTATAGTTGGGATGATGCTTTGTGATCATCACCCGACCGTTATGGGAATCGGATTGATGCTTGGTGATCATCATCCGAATAGCCCTTAGAGTGATGGGTCGATGCTTTGTGATCGTCACCCGATGAGTAGTAGAGATGGGTAGATGCTTTGTGACCGCTACCCGGTTAGTGATAGATAAGTAGGTTGATGCTTTGTGATCATCATCCGACATTTAGTAGAAACGGGTTGATGCTTTGTGACCATCACCCGATAGTGACTAGAGACGGGTAAATGCTTGGTGATCGTTACCCAAAATTCATGAGGAACGGGTAGGCGCTAGGTGATCTCCACCCGATAGTTAGAAATAACCGAGTTGGTGCTTTGTGATCCTCACTCGGTAGTCACTAAGAACGGGTTGGTACTGTGTGAATTCCACCCGATAGCCATAGAGAGTGAGATGGTGCTGTGTGAACGCCATCCGGCCGTACCTCCGGTAAGATGAGGCCATGATGTTATTAGAAACAGAAATAGAATCAGAGATAGCATAAGGAAAGAATTAAGAGTTATTCATACGGGGACAGACAGATAGAGAGTTTTACTTACTGAGCATTATTTTGTGCTCACCCCGTTATTTTCCTTTGTGGATGCAGGTTCTAGATGATGTTGCGGTCGGAGGGGCGTCGGCAAGCAATGAGGAATAGCTACACTGTTTCCCCTGTTTTGTCTTTTAAAATACATTTTTTTAAACAGTACTCTTTATGTATAAAAGACACATGAATTGTAATGAAAGAAAACTTTGGGCCCAACTTTTCTATTGTTATTATGCATGCATTGTACAGTTTTCAGTAGGTGTTACATAGCAACTACTTGTTCTCTAATGTGGAGAACATCTGACTCAATATGCTTGGTTCTAGCATGAAAGATTGGATTTGAAGCAAGAGATCTAGCACTCAAATTATCACACCACACAATTGGAATTGTAGAAGGGTTTAAACTCATTTTAGAAAATAAACTTTTGAACCATGCTATTTTTGTAGCTCCCTGAGCAAGTGCTTTGTGCTCTACCTCTGTAAAGGACAAGGCCACTACCTTTTGTTTTCTAACACTCCATTGGAGTAGATTAGGGCCACGGAAGATGCAACAATCACTAGTTAATCTTCTGTCTTGAACATTTCTTGCCCAACCAACGTCAGTGAAACACTCTAGATTGAACTTGTGAATTTTATGAAACTAAACCCCAAAGTGTGTTGTGCCTTTAAGATATCTAAGTAATATCCTGCAAGCTTGCCAATGTAGGTGAGTAGAAGCCTTTAGAAATTGGCTCAATTTGTTTACAGAACATGCAATATCAAGTCTTGATAATGTTAGATATTGCAAGGCTCTAATTGTGCTCTTGTAAAGTGATGGCTTGTCAAACAACTCACTATCCTCAAGAGTTAACTTGTTTCCTAAATCCATAGGAGTAGAGCATGGCTTAGAGTCCATCATTCTAGTTTTAGTTAACAGATCTTTGGCATACTTTTCTTAACACATATGGATGCTATAAGCTATTCTATATACCTCAAAACCCAGAAAATATTTAAGAGAGCCCAAGGATTTTTCAAGGTAAACTCATCCTTGAGCTTGTGCACTATGTCTTGGACTAGTTTAGAATTACTTCCTATCAAAAGAATGTCGTCCACATAAACTATTACATAAACAACCAAATCATTGAGCTTGTAGATGAATAAACTTGGATCAGCCAATGAACTAACAAACCCCTACTTGAGAAAAGCAGTTTTGAGTTTCTCAAATCAGGCCCTTGGAGCCTATTTAAGGACATACAATGCCTTGATAGGTTTGCATGCATGGAGTGGTGTCTTAGTATCAACAAAACCAGTAAGTTGAGTCATATACACTGTCGCACTGAGTTCCCCACTCAAAAAAGCATTGTTGACATCCACTTGTTGGATGTCCCATCCATAGGTAACAGTTAGGCTTAGCACAACTCTAATTGTGGATGATTTGATGACAGGACTAACAGTCTCAAGATAATCAATTCCCGAAGTTTGTTGAAAGCCTTTGGCAACTAACTTGGCTTTAAACCTTTGAATGGAGCCATCTGAGTTGTGTTTAATTTGGAAAACCCACTTACAACCTACCACATTCATATGAGCCTCAGCTGGAACAAGCTCCCAAGTGTTATTAGAGAGCAAGGTAGTGAATTCACTCTCCATGGCAGCTTTCCAAGAGGGATGGGAAAGTGCTTCAAATACACTTACTGGTTCATCAGTGATAAGTGCTTGAAAATAAACTTATACTTAGTCGTTTATAGGTATCATTTGTTAGAAATTAGGTTTAATTCGCATGAATTAACTTAATTGTTTCATAAACGCACTTTCCGGGATCACGGGTATTTTTGTTGTCTTTTTAGGGAATAAGGCTCAAAAATAATATTTGGATGAGAGATGATCTTGGCGAGAGAATTTTTGACAACTGGAAACAAACGAATCGAGAATCGGAGTTGAATTGAAGAAGTTATGGAAGTTGAAGCAAAGAGAAGATTCTAGATTACGTTCCAGCTTGAGCATGCCTCGGTATTTTGAGAATATCTTGAGTTTTAGAACTTGGATTAAGACGATTCTTGGACCGTTGGAAAGCTGATTCAAAGGGCTATATTTAGTATGATTAAAACGTTTCCAAATTCCATCGTTATTGAGTTCAAAAATCACCATCTCTGAAGAACAGTGGAATGATGCGAGAAGAAGACCTGTAGCTACTGTGCCGCGACACACTTTTTCCAGTAGCTACTGTGCCACAGCATAGTGCTGCGGCACAGTCATGAAAGCTGGGAACTTTTCCTCCATTTTTGATTGGGAAAATAGCGTTTTAAGAGTCCTAAACTAACTAGAATTAAGGAAAACAAAACCCTAACCCTTGTGGGATGTAAATATAAGTCTTTTAGCATTATTTTAGGGGAATTCTTTTAGAGATAAAAAAAGAGAGAACAAAGATCATTCAAGAACTGAAGAAAAAGGGAGATTAAAGAAGGCTTGGAGAAGAAGAATCGGAGGAGATCATCATCAACTTCATTAATCCAACCAAGTTTCACTAAGTTTTTCTTCTTCTTTGTTATTATTATTTGTTATGAATAAAACAATGATGTTCTCATATTTATTCATGAAGAACTAATTCTTTTGTGATTGAGGGTGATTTCAAAACCCTAGACATGTCTTGTGTTCAATAAAATCTGCATCTTTTTATCTTTTGATCCTTCTTGGTTATGTGATTATTTCTCTGTGAATAGGGTTTAGATAGATTGTCTTAATTGTTTAAGTGGCCAATTAAATCGTTAGGATTAATCTATTAATGCCAATTTAGGTTGTTTAGTACGGAATCGCTTTATTAACCTAAATAACTAGTGGTAAAGTGTATGCCTGCATACATGGGGGGTAATCACTCAAGATAACTAAACCGACCATATGAGTTTAGCCTTGATTCAGTAGGTCTCTCGCAACTTAATGCTTTTATTACTTTGAATCTAGAGATCGTATCCTAGGTTATCTAATAAATAGGGAATTGGGTTATGACCGTGTCTATTCCAACGACTTATTAAGGAGAGATTTTACTTATCAACGTTTGTTATTTTCTGAGCTGATGTGATTAAGAGGGTAGAAAGTTAAAGAGTGTTTTTATTTTATGTAATTTTTGTCTAGTGGTGGCGAATAAACCTTCAATCCAGTTTCTCTTATTGATTTCTCTATCATCATTAATTGCTTGATTTACATTGTTTGCTTTGAGTTCTTTTTAGTTTTTGGTTGATAATTCGTGACAAACCCCGTTAGAAGTAGATAATTAATTAAGTTCACAAATCCTCTACGGGAAAGACCCTTACTTGCTCTTTGCTACTACACGACTTTGCATTAGAATTTAGTGAGGTAAAATTAGGTGTTGCATTTGCATGCATTAATTTTTGGCGCCGTGTCGCCGGGGATTTTTATTAACTTAATTATTTGTTTACTTTTTGTTTATTTTTCAATTTTTATTTGTTCTTTGTTTTTGAGTTGCAGGTGTTTTAGGTGAATGAGCTCGCGATACAATTTGAGATCGAATCCGCATTCTGATCTAATTCCACCTATTACTCATTCAAAATAACCTTTGCATAGATCAACTCTCGATCAAGCAATCCATACCGATCTTCCACTCACAAGTGATTCTTCTGATTTTTCCAGATCAAGAGGAGATGGCTAATCTAACTCTCAAAGAGATGGTTGCACCAACCGTTGACCAACAACCTTTATGCATTCGATACAATGATACAATAGGGGGAGCTTTTGAGCTTAAATCTGGGATGATTCATCTTCTACCAATTTTCAGAGGTTTAGCAGGAGAGGATCCAAACAAGCACCTCAAGGAGTTCCATGTGGCGTGCTCGAGTATGAAACCAAATGGAACAATGGAGGAACAAGTGAAGTTAAGGGTGTTTCCATTTTCTTTAGCAGATAGTGCTAAGGAATGGCTTTATTACCTACCATCCGGGACCATAACTACTTGGAATGAGATGAAGAGGTTGTTCTTGGAGAAGTATTTTCCAGCATCTCGAGCCACACTCATTAGGAAAGAAATTTGTGGGATTTGGCAATACAATGGGGAAAACTTATATGAATATTGGGAAAAGTTTAAGAAATTGTGTGCTAGCCGTCCGCATCATCAAATAAGTGAGCAATTACTTCTCCAATATTTTTATGAGGGATTGATGCCAATGGAGAGGAGCATGATAGATGCAGCAAGTGGAGGAGCATTAGTGATAAAACTCCTACAGAAGCAAGGAACTTAATTGCAACCATGGCGGCAAACTCTCAACAATTTGGTACTCGATTCGATCCACCACCAAGGAAGGTAAATGAAGTGGGGATATCCAATAATCTTGAACAAAAATTGAATAATTTGACTGCACTTGTGCAACAAATTGCAATTGGACAAGTGAAGACTTGTGGAATTTGCTCCAATGTGGGACATCCTACCGATATGTGTCCTACCCTTTAAGAGACAAATGCAGAACAAGTAAATGCCATGGGAGGATACCAAGGACAACAAAGGCAAAGGTATGATCCGTTTTCCAATACCTATAATCCAGGATGGAGGGATCACCCTAATCTTAGCTTGAAGGAAATCAACAAGCTACTGTCACTAATTATCTACCTGGTTTCCCTTACCCACGAGCTCCACAACCGTACCAAGCAAGACCCCAAAATGTTTCCCAACCTCAAGGTAAGTCTTTGGAGGACTTGGTAAACTCATTAGCAACTGGCTCTCTTCAATTTCAGCAAGAGAATCTCAAGTTCCAACAAGAAACAAAAATGTCAATCAAGAATTTGGAAAGCCAAGTTAGTCAATTGGCTAGTATTCTTGGAAGATTAGATGCGCATGGGTCTGGAAAGCTTCCTTCCCAACCTTTGGTTAACCCTAGGGAGAATGCTAGTGCCATTACTTTGAGAAGTGGTAGACAACTTGAGAAGACTCACAAGAAGCCAAATGATGAGAAAGAAGTTGGAGATGAGTTGATTCAAGGTGGAACAAAGCAGCCCAAAAGTGCAGAAAATTTGCCAACCGATTCTTCTAATGCAAAACATCCACCTAAGGTACAATCTAAAGTTCCTATTAATACTTACAAACCTCCTTTGCCTTTTCCTAGCAGGTTTGCCACATCAAAGAAGGAGGAACATGAACAAGAAATTTTGGACACTTTTAGAAAAGTACATGTCAACATTCCTTTGTTGGATGCAATAAAGCAAGTGCCGCGTTATGCGAAATTTCTTAAGGAATTGTGCACCAACAAGAGAAAACTGAAGGGAAACGAGGTGGTGAGCGTGGGAGAAAATGTCTTAGTGGTTTGCAAAGGAAGCTTCCAACAAAGTGCAAAGATCCGGGTAGTTTCACCATACCATGCGTCATAGGCAACACAAGGTTTGAGAAAGCAATGTTGGACTTAGGTGCTTCTATTAATGTCCTGCCTTACTCAATTTATTTGATTTAAATCTTGGTACTCTTAAAGAGACCGGCGTAGTTATTCAACTCGCTGATCGATCTAATGCCTATCCAAAGAGAGTTGTGGAAGATGTTTTGGTGTAGGTAAACGAGCTTGTTTTTCCAGTGGATTTCTACGTGCTTGACATGAAAGATGAAACAACTGTGAAAACCACGCCATAGCTTTTGGGGAGACCATTCATGAAAATAGCCCGTATGAAAATAGATATGCATAATGGGACATTAACAATGGAGTTTGATAGGGAAGGCATTCAATTTAACATCTTTGACACAATGAGGTATCCTAATGATGACAATGATTGCTTTTCCATTGATTTACTTGATTCTTTAACGCAGCAAATGTTCGAGCTTAAGGGTAAAGATCCATTGGAAGTGGCAATATGGAATGGGTTATCAACCGAGGAACCTCAAAGTTTTAATGAAGATGTAGAGTTGGGAGAAGAGCTAAATGAAACTATAGCAATGTTGGATGAGCTTCCAAAGAAAAATCCAAGGTATGAAATCTCCTATATTTCTCTTCCCATATCTAATGAGAAACTTTTACCTTCCATTATGCAAGCCCCTACCTTGGAGCTTAAGCCTTTACCAAGTCATCTCAAGTATTTATACTTGGGAGAAGGAGACACATTGCACGTGATTGTAGCGGCCAACCTTTCAAAGGTGCAAGAAGAGAAACTTGTTCGTGTGTTGAGAGAGTACAAAACGGCAATTGGTTGGACAATTACTGACATTAAAGGAATAAGTCCTTCCATGTGCATGCACCGCATATTATTAGAGGAAGGATCGAAGCCTACAAGAGAAGCGTAAAGACGAATGAATCCACCAATGATGGAAGTAGTGAAGAAGGAAATAATCAAGTTGTTAGATGTTGGTGTGATCTACCCAATTTTGGATAGTAAATGGTTTAGTCCGGTCCAAGTAGTTCCTAAGAAATCTGGAATAACTGTGGTAAAGAATGAAGATAATGACTTAGTTCCCACTCGCATTCAAACGGGATGGCAAGCAAGCTCAATGCCATAACGCACAAAGATCATTTTCCTCTTCCATTTATAGATCAAATGCTTGAACGTTTAGCGGGCCATTCTCACTATTGTTTTCTTGATGGATTTTCAGGTTATAATCAAATTGTGATTGCACCGGAAGATCAAGAGAAGACGACGTTTACATGCCCTTTGGGCACTTTTGCTTATCGACGCATGCCATTTGACCTTTGTAATGTACCAGCCACCTTTCAAAGGTGCATGGTAAGTATTTTCTCCGATTACATAGAGAACATTATAGAGCTGTTTATGGATGATTTTAGTGTCTATGGGAACTCATTTGATAATTGTTTGGGTAATTTGGCATTAGTTTTTAAAAGATGCATAGAAACGAATCTCGTTTTAAATTGGGAAAAATGTCATTTTATGGTAAATCAAGGGATAGTTTTAGGGCATATTATCTCATCTAGGGGGATTGAAGTTGATAAAGCTAAAATAGATCTTGTACATTCCTTACCAGCTCCCACTTGTGTGAGAGAGGTACGTTCTTTTCTTGGACATGCAGGATTTTATAGGAGATTTATCAAGGATTTCTCCAAGATCGCAAGGCCCTTATGCTGTTTGTTACAAAAAGAGGTAGCGTTTGAGTTCAATGAAGAGTGTATAAAGGCGTTTAAGAAATTAAAAGAACTCCTAACCACAGCCCGAATTATTCAGCCACCCAATTGGAGTCTTCCATTCGAGTTGATGTGCGACACAAGCAATTATGCCATTGGAGCCGTGTTAGGACAACGAGTTGGAAAGTTACCACACGCCATTTATTATGCTTCAAGAACATTGAATGACACTCAACTTAACTACTCCATAATTGAGAAAGAACTTTTGGCCGTTATTTTTGCATTAGAAAAGTTTCGTTCTTATCTAATTGGCACTAAAGTTACTGTTTTTTCTAACCATGCAGCTCTTAGGTATTTGCTTATGAATAAGGAGGCTAAACCAAGGCTTATAAGGTGGATTCTATTGCTACAGAGTTTAACCTAACAATTAAAGACAAAAGAGGGAGCGAGAATGTTGTAGCAGACCATTTAAGTAAGTTGATAAATCGAGAAGATGCTCTTCCATTGAAAGATGATTTTCCAGATGAACAATTACTTGCGATGACATCCTCGAGACCATGGTATGCAGATATAGTAAATTACATAGTGACCAAGAGAACCCCACCCAACATGTCACATGGTAGCAAGGACAAACTGAAGAAGATCGCCAAACAAAACGTGTGGGATGATCCATATCTTTGGAAATATTGCCCCAACCAAATCATAAGAAGGTGTGTGTCCGAAAGTGAATTTAATTCAATTTTAACTTTTTGCCATTCTTATGCATGTGGAGGACACTTTGGAGCAAAGAGGACAGCTCTCAAGGTTCTTGAGAGTGGATTCTATTGGCCTACACTCTTTAAAGACGCATATTGTTTTTGCAAAACATGTGATAGATGTTAACGCTCAGGTAATTTAGGCCCAAGAAATCAAATGCCCCAAAATCTGATTTTATTTGTTGAGATTTTTTATGTATGGGGTATTGATTTCATGGGACCCTTTCCGTCTTCTTATGGTTACTTTTATATCTTACTTGCTGTTGATTATGTGTCTAAACGGGTAGAAGCAAAGGCCACCCGGCCTAATGATTCTAAAGTTGTAGATTTTGTAAAATTTAACATTTTTGCAAGGTTTGGAACACCTAGAGCCATAATTAGTGACGGGGGCACTCATTTTTGCAACCGTACATTTTGGGCTACCTTGAAGAAATACAACGTCACCCACAAGATCTCTACGCTATACCACCCACAAACGAGTGGACAAGCCGAAGTCTCTAATCGGGAAATCAAGTCCATCTTAGAGAAGACCGTGAATCCAAATAGGAAAGATTAGAGCTTGCGACTTGACGATGCATTATGGGCGTATAGGACAGCATATAAGACACCAATTAGAATGTCCCCATTCCGAATGGTTTATGGTAAACCATGTCACCTTCCCGTTGAATTAGAGCATAGAGCCTATTGGGCAATTAAGCAATGCAATATGAAACTAGACGCAACGGGAGAACAACGGAAATTGCAATTGAATGAACTTGAGGAGAAACGGAATGAAGCTTATGAAAGTTCATGCATTTACAAGGACAAAACAAAGGCCTTCCATGATAGAATGATCCAGCGAAAGCATTTTGAAGCTGGACAAAAAGTTCTTCTATTCCATTCACATCTTAAACTTTTTCCTGGTAAGTTAAGTTCCCGTTGGGTTGGTCCTTTTGTGATTACTAATGTTTTTCCCAATGGTGCAGTGGAAATTAAGAGAATGAAGACCGGGAAAGATTTCAAGGTCAATGGCCATCGTCTAAAGCCATACTAAGAGCCATTCATGGAACAATTGGATGAAGTACCTCTCCGTGAACCAACGGACATGGACGGTTAAGCAAAGAACAATGTTAGGCTAACAACATTAAACAAAGCGCTACATGGGAGGCAACCCATTGAGTTGTGTTAGTTTTCGTTTTTCCTAATGATTTTTGTTTAATACCGATTAATAGAGCAATAAGGACATTGCCCAATTTAGGTTGGGGGTGGGACATAGAAATATTAATTCTTTGGTATGTCTAAGTATGTGTTTACATTTGTGTGTTTGCATTTGTGTTTCTGTAGTTTTTTTTTAGTGTTTGCATGTTTTTAGGATTAAATTTTTTTTAGTTTTTCGGATTAATTTATGTGTCAATGATATGATTATAATTGTGATAACATGTGATGTTTAGAAGATGTTAAATGTCGCTTAGGTTTAGGGGTAATTTTGAATAATTAGTTTCATCTAGTTTGAGACTCTCATGCTATGTGGTATGATTTGGTTGGTTAGTCTTAAGGCTTAGTGATGTTTGTTATGTATGAATTTTCATAGATATTTTTGCGATCTCAACAAATTCTAGAACTCACTTGATAACTACTTGAGGCGAAATCCTAGAATGAACATTACTTAGGATATGATTTAGGCTATCTTTGGATCGTTTGAGCCTTTCAAGCCAACCCTTTATTTAAATTATCGCTAGTTACCCCTTTGAGCCATTATTAAACACATTTAGCCTTGATTTTCTTTCATGTAACCTACATTAACCCACTATTATTTTGAGCCAAAAACACATTCCTACCCTTTAATTTTAAGAGACTTAATCTAAGTACAAGATTGGTGAGAGCAATTAAAGAAGTGAGGGTGAAGGTTTGTGAAAATTATCAATTTATTCCAAATGTGCTCAAAAGAATAGGTTGGGGGTTGTGGAGTGCTTTTTAATCAAGATTGGGGTAGCATTTTTAGCTTTCCTTTCTTTCTTCTGAATGAAAAAAAAAAAAAATTGAAAAGAAAAAAAAAAAAAGAGAAGAAAAGAAAAATAGAGAAGAGAGAAAGAAGAAAAAAGGGAAATTTATTAAGAAACACTGCAAAGTATAAATGATGCAATGAAATTATTTTTGATAAAGGGTGGAAAAAGTTGGGTGTAAAGAAGAATGATGGTGCGTGAATGAAAGTGTTTGAAAGAAATAGGATTGAGTCTCTTATTTTTGCTTATCTTTTCCGTTCTTTCATAACCTCATAACCTAGCCTAACGTTACAAGCTTAATAAAGACCTATTGATCTGAGGTAGTGTGATCATTCTACATTAGTGGAGAGTAGTTTGAAAAGTGAGCCTATGGAATATGATTCTATACATTACATTATATTATTAAAATTTTGAGATCAATTCTTTGTTTGTGAAGTTTGTGCATGTGATCATCCGGGTTTTGAGATTAACGGGTTTGTGGAATGATTGATGTGTGAGAGTTGATAATGAAAATGAAATTGATTTTTGAGTTACCTTTGGGCTTGGGTGATATTTAACTATTCTTTATGTTATGTGTTGTATGCAATTTTTTGAGACGAATGTATATCCAGAGACTAATGTTTTGCTTGTTTGTTTTTAATTTTAGAGTCTAGGTTAGGTTTAGCATGGATGTTTGTGGGTATCATCGCTGGAAACCCTCATGAGACTACAACTTGTCCAACTAGGGCCACCTAGGGGTTTAAAGGCTTGTTGCATACGCTAAATGCAACCGTGACAATCTAAGGAAGTGATTTGGTGTAGATTAGATTTATGTTTATTTTATTTTAATTTTCAAGCTAGAAGACATATTTTTATCACTTAGCTTGCTAGGGACTAGCAAGAAGCTGGTTGGTGGTTGTGATAAGTGCTTGAAAATACACTTATACTTAGTGGTTTATAGGTATCATTTGTTAGAAATTAGGATTAATTCGCATGAATTAACTTAATTGTTTCATAAACGCACTTTTCGGGATCACGGGTATTTTTGTTGTGTTTTCAGGGAATAAGGCTCAAAAATAATATTCGGATGAGAGATGATGTTGGCAAGAGAATTTTTGACGAATGGAAACAAACAGATCGAGAATCGGAGTTGAAGAAGTTATGGAAGTTGAAGTAAAGAGAAGATTCTAGATTACGTTCCAGCTTAAGCATGCCTCGGTATTTTGAGAATATCTTGAGCTGTAGAACTCGAATTAAGACGATTCTTCACCATTGGAAAGCTGATTCAAAGGGCTACATTTCGTATGTTTATCACTTTTCCAAATGCCATCGTTATCGAGTCCAAAAATCACCATCTTTGAAGAATAGTGGAATGATGCGGGAAGAAGACCTATAGCTACTGTGCAGCGGCACACTTTTTTCAGTACCTACTGTGCCACAGCACAGTGCCACCCCACAGTCACGAAAGCTGGGAACTTTTCCTCCATTTTTGACTAGGAAAATAGGGTTTTAAGAGTCCTAAAGTAACTAGAATTAAGGAAAACAAAACCCTAACCCTTGTGGGATGTAAATATAAGTCTTTTAGCATTATTTTAGGGGAATTCTTTTAGAGATAAAAAAAGAGAGAACAAAGATCATTCAAGAACTGAAGAAAAAGGGAGATTAAAGAAGGCTTGGAGAAGAAGAATCGGAGGAGATCATCATCAACTTCATTAATCCAACCAAGTTTCACTAAGTTTTTCTTCTTCTTTGTTATTATTATTTGTTATGAATAAAACAATGATGTTCTCATATTTATTCATGAAGAACTAATTCTTTTGTGATTGAGGGTGATTTCAAAACCCTAGACATGTCTTGTGTTCAATAAAATCTGCATCTTTTTATCTTTTGATCCTTCTTGGTTATGTGATTATTTCTCTGTGAATAGGGTTTAGATAGATTGTCTTAATTGTTTAAGTGGCCAATTAAATCGTTAGGATTAATCTATTAATGCCAATTTAGGTTGTTTAGTACGGAATCGCTTTATTAACCTAAATAACTAGTGGTAAAGTGTATGCCTGCATACATGGGGGGTAATCACTCAAGATAACTAAACCGACCATATGAGTTTAGCCTTGATTCAGTAGGTCTCTCGCAACTTAATGCTTTTATTACTTTGAATCTAGAGATCGTATCCTAGGTTATCTAATAAATAGGGAATTGGGTTATGACCGTGTCTAGTCCAACGCCTCAGTAAGGAGAGATGAGACTTATCAACGTTTGATATTTTCTGAGTTGATGTGATCAAGAGGGTAGAAAGTTAAAGAGTGCTTTTATTATATGCAATCTATGTCCAGTGGTGGTGAATAAACCTTCAATCCAGTTTCTCTTATTGATTTCTCTATCATCATTAATTGCTTGATTTACATTGTTTGCTTTGAGTTCTTTTTAGTGTTTGGTTGATAATTCGTGACAAACCCCGTTAGAAGTAGATAATTAATTAAGTTCACAAATCCTCTGTGGGAAAGACCCTTACTTGCTCTTTGCTACTACATGACTTTGCATTAGAATTTAGTGAGGTAAAATTAGGTGTTGCATTTGCACGCATCAATCAGTATCAAGGTGGGAAAGTGTAGTGGTAGAAGAAACTAACATAGAATTATGGAGTTTGGCTTTGGACCTAGTAACCATGGGGTGAGTGTTTAAAGGTTGTGTCTCAATTGGTAGTTCAACCGTAAGGTGAATGGCTTCAGGTGACTTTGAATAGGTAGAATTATGGGACTAAGTAGCACTAGATGAATGAGATTAACTAGGTTGATTTGCTAGGTGGAGTGGTGGTGTATCAATTGGTCTGCATAAGTGAGGTTCACTAGGCTGGTCTGCTAAGTTGGTTGGTTGTGCATCAATTGGTAGTTCAACTGTAAGATGAATGGCTTCAGGTGACTTTGAACAAGTAGAGTCGGGAAACTGAGTAGGATTGGCAGAAGGGGACTCACTAATCTGGTTTACAGTAGGACTGGTAAAAGGGGACTCATGAATCTGGTCTGCAGTAGGACTAATAGAAGGGGACTCATGAATCTGGCCTGCTAAGTTGGAAGAGTGTAGTAGTGATGAGTTCTGCTGAGCATTCATGGATGGAAGTGATAATATGGCAGGATTTTCAGCAACATTAGATGAAGCAGTGATAACTGGAAAGTGTTGATCAGTGACAACAGGCGACAAAGATTTAGTAGGGAACGCAGGTAGTTTTGGTGTTGGCTAAGCAGTGATGTGAAAGGGGGCAGAATAATTATCATTCAATGAGACAAAAGAAGTATAAGTAGAAGTAGATACTTCCCAAGACTGAGATAATGAAGAGGAAGCAAAAGGAAAAGTGGACTCATCAAATTTAACACTTTGACAGATGTATATTCTGCAATTAGAATCCATACAATTGTATCTTTTGTGATGCATACTATATCCAACAGAAGTGCATTTAGTAGTGTGAAAATAAAATTTATGAGAATTGTATGGCCTAAGGTAAGGATAGACTACACAACCAAATACTCTAACAACTCTGTAGTCTAGAATTTTGTTAAATAGGACTAAAAAGGAGAAAGGTTGGATAGAACAACCGTAGACAATCTGTTGGTTAGGTAGGTGGAAGTTTGAAAGGCAAACCACCAAAATTTTAGGGGCATGCTAGCTTGAGCAAGCAAAGTCAAGCCTTGTTCAACTATTTGTCTGTGTTTTCTCTCTATTCTCCCATTTTGTTGGTGAGTATGGGGACATGGATGCCTAAAAATAATGCCATGGTCAAGAAAGTTAGAAACTAAGCTCCTATATTCCCCTCCCCAATCTGTTTGGACACACTTTAGGCTTGTATTAAACTGTTTTTCAGCCAGTTTGAGAAATTGTTTGAAAATAAGTTGAGTCTTAGATTTTTTTTCAAAGGGAAATCCAAGTGAACCTGCTATAGTCATCTAAAAACTGAATGTAATACTTAAAACCTTCGGATGAGGGAATAGGGGATGGTCCCCATAAATCTGAATATACTAATTCCAAAGGTTGAGAGGTGTAACGCCCTTTTTGAGGTACGTAGTTAAGAGTCGTT